TCGTGCGCCGATAGTATCGACTTTAAATCATACGTCAAATTCAGACATCAAGTGATAAATTGCGAGAAAAATGTGGACTACGAAGAGACGGGAAAATGGGTGCTAACCGTCCAAAACCTGGACAACGGACAGGTATTTAGCGACGTTTGCGATGGGGTCATGGTATGCAGTGGTCTCAACAATAGGCCAGTTATGCCACAATTCAAAGACCAAAATCTATTCAAAGGAGAGATCATTCATTCGCGAAGTTATCGCAAACCACAGGCCTATGAGGACAGGCGGGTTGTGGTCGTAGGCATCGGTAACTCCGGGGGTGATGTGGCCGTCGAGTTGTCTACTGTCGCCAAACAGGTATACCTCACCATAACATAACATTCCCATTGTATGCATGCATTTTTCATTAATTGTTTGCATATTTGGGTCAATAAACTATTCATATGACAGAGTATAATAATTAGGATTTGTTTTATTTGTGATTATTTTTATAAAATAAATAAATAGTGTTTATATTTATAAGTTTTATGAATAGCGAAGGCTTTTTAGCGATAAAATAAAAAGTTGTTTAACAGCTTAAGACATAAACACTAATGTTTTGATAATTTTACAAATAGGAAATACATGGAAAATATTTCGCTCAGGGATGCAATTTGTAGGTCATCTCATAAAACTACTCTTTCTTTGAGAATTAAATCTCTCTCTCTCTCTCACACACACACACACACACACATCTGTATACATATTATACACCCTAAAGTATTTTAATTTTATTATATTTATTTTAATCATAAAATATCATTTAGTAGTCATGTCATTAAACTTAAAATAATTTATTAACTTTATTTTCTTAATGATAAATTAATGGTTTTGGAAAAAACAAGCAAACAAACTCAAACTAATACTCTTTTCTAGGTATACCTGTCCACTCGCAGTGGCAGTTGGATAGTACGTCGTGTGGGCTTAAGTGGCCTACCATTTGATGGTCAGTTCAACCGGCGGTCAATGAATACACTGCTGAGTCTCACCCCATATCCCATACAATGCTATTTCGGAGAGATGTATATAAACACGAAATTCAATCATAAATTATATGATTTAAAACCGAAGCACCGGCTGTTCGCACAGCACCCCATGATTAACGATGACTTACCCAACCGGATACTGGCCGGTTATGTCCAGGTTAAGACTAATATTGAAAGGTTTACCCCAAATGGAGTTGTATTTGAAGGTATTATTCTCAATATATTATATTTAGTGGCCAGATCTATTTATTGAAAAATATATTTAAATATCTATAATGAAGCTCGTAATAAGTAATTTCTACATTAATTTTTCATGCAAAATAAGTATTCAACTAAAAATTAAGTAAATGCAAAATTATTTAGTAAACAATAAAGGCAAACATTGATATCATACTATATTTAGTGAAAAAAGTATCTATTTACATTTAAGCATTTAAAAATACTGTATATCTTAAATTTATCAGAATTATATCCAGTAATTACAAAAATAGATACACATTTTATATAAATGAAATCTATATTTGAACATTACAGTGTGTTAAGTGAAAGAAAATTAATTTTTAAAATTTCTATAATTAGGCGAAACCGATGAAACTCCATGCGATGCCGTAGTGATGGCCACTGGATATGAGTTGTGCTACCCTTTCATATCCGCAGACACCCTACCCATCAGTAAATCGGACTTTAATCTCTATAAACACGTGTTTTATGCCAACCACTCGCACGCGCACACACTGGCCATCATAGGGTGCGTACAGCCGGGCGGTGCCATACCTCCCATCGCGGAACTCCAGGCGCGATGGTTCGCCCAACTGATGGCCAGTCATCTGAAACTGCCGTCAAAAGCGAAAATGCTTTCCGATATCAAGCGACGGAACCGTTGGGTGCGGAAGAGGTTCTTCAACGCCAGTCGGTGTGCGCTGGAAGAGGATTGGGTCCCATATATGGATGACTTGGCCTCCATTTTGGGGGTTAAGCCTAAACTTT